GAAATACAGGGGATAGCAGAACAAGCTAAGAGAGCCCAGACACATCCAGGAGCTGCGACATTCTGCAGGCAGCGGCTCGGTCTTGCAAACCAGTGTTGCGGGAGGGACTGCTCCCAATAAAGGGCATAAGACTCCCCAGCGCAAGGCCATTCCACACCCTGACAGCGTGCCTCACACAGCGTGCTCCACCGTAACCACCTAAGTCCCCTGTCCCTTCTCCCTCTGAGGCATTCAGACACTGTCCCCTTGTGATGGGTGGTACTTAGAGCACACAGGCACTCTGAGAACACAGTAAGGGAGCGCCAAGTAAGTTGAATTGGGGAGGGATTTGGCAGTGTGGGTTTCTGGAAAATATGCATGTTCCTGATTTGTAGTCACTTCCACGTGTAATTCAGTTCTTGCCAGCTGCTCTGGAATAGCTTCCAGAAATAGCCCTGCCACCCATTTTGGTGACTTGCCCAGCACTCCGACACATAGGTATGGGGTCACAGGTCAGATCTCCCCCTGCCCTTGTCTCGTGGATCCAGCACCACATCTGTGGGAGTGGAGGAACGAGGTTTGAGGAGCACGGCGCCAGGCTCTAGTCTGTGGATATTACTTCAATCACCAGACACATAAAGTTGGACTCTCTCCCGTCAGAAACATGATGATGCAGCATATACAGTATGTGATGTGAATCACACACAGTAGGATTTGATCAGACTGCATGCAGGTAGCACACAATCCTGAGGCAGTTTCGTGAACCCCAAGATGTGGGGTGTTCTCTCTCCTCAATGGTCAGTAGTTACAAACCACACTAAAGGAACAGCTGTGATGACTTCCCTCATCTCCCTACAGGAAATCTTGCAAAATTATTGTCATAAGAAGAGGCTAGCAAGGAGTATCCTGGCAAAAATGTAGGAGAAGTGTTAGAATATCAGTATTCTGATAGTTTTTTAGATGTGCTATTTGTGGATTCACCAGCTTTTTAGTTTGTAGTTTTTTTGAAATTTCTTACTCTAAAATAGTATCTGCCTTAATGCAATTTTATATTCATAATGTTCTGTGTGTTTTTGTAAAGAGGCTTGGATACCTCATTCATAATGCATTGTTCTTAAAAAAGCCCCCTGTTTGGGGACCTAATGACCATAGATGCAGCACATGGTGCCAGGCACACCAACTCCAGAGACCATTCTGGGGTGAACTGGAGATACCACCCTCCAAGCAACTCTGGGGATGGAGGAGGATGACGTGAATCTGGGGAGATGGGAGACCCGGGGGGGATGGGGCTCCTCCAGAATCACGTGTCTTCACAGTGGTGCTGGCCGAGCCAGGGGGTGCCCAGACAGTGTGACTGTGGTCTAGGCATTAGCCCCACTGCCCACCGGAGGATCTGAGGGGTGTGCACCACAGGTCAGAGCCATGTCTGTGGGAAGCCCTGCCCCTTAACCATCTGCCGGGTCCCCCGAAATCCACACTGGGATGCTGAAGCCATGGAATGGGCAGGAGTGCCCCCTCCAGTGGTAGCTGATGGTTTCTTGCCCGAGCCCAAACTTAACTTTTTTTTAAGACTTGATTGATTGATTGATTGATTGATTGATTGATTTGAGAGCGAGAGAGAGAGCTGGGAGGAGGAGCAGCGGGATAAGCAGACTCTGCACTGAGCATAGAGCCCGACTTGGGGCTCAATCCCATAACCCCGAGATCGTGACCTGAGCTGAAATCAAGATTCAGATGCTCAACCAATTGAGACGCCCAGGCGCCCCGCCCTAAGTCTATTTACTGTGCTGTTTTGTGCACCTTGCACACAGAATTATTTTCTAGGGTCTTCGTAGCTCTCTCAAGGGAGATTGGAGAGAGAAGCTTTAGTAAGTGTTACTCTATGAGCGTGGCCAGAAGGCCACCTCCAGGAACCGTCTTCTGTGGTGTTAGGGGTGTGTGACCTCGTTCTTTATCCCAGGAGAAAACAAGGCTGAACAACCACAGCCAAATAACCTGGAGACTTCCAGCTTAAAGAACTCACAGAGGCTCATCCATAAACAAAGGATGAGGAAGACATTTATTCATACTGTGCACTATTTAACAACTAATGAGAAAGATTAATAATGGATTAGCATCAACTGGCCAAATAACAGAGCATTTGGGGGATATAATCTCCTATTCTTCCCGCTCGCTTCAGCTCACTCTAGTAGCTCTGACTGTTTACTTTCTTCTTCTTCAAAACTAACAATTCCTGAGGGGAGAAAAGAAACATGAGTATATTCCACACTCATTTTTTCTATTTTGAAATTCTGTGTGCTAACAGATCTTTTGCAATGAATAATATTATAAATATTAAGCATTTACTGGGCAAAAAATACAACGTTAAATTTTATCTTATACAGACTTTTGTAGTTTTTCTTCGGTACCGGTGTTAGGAGTGCATTGGACAGTTAGGAGTCAGGGCCAGGGTCCCCAACAAGAAAATATGGAGTCTGGACAGCTAAAGTAAAATAGCGCTGACATCTCGTTTTGCAGCTTAGACAGGACCGGACTAACATTCTGCTTTGCAGCCTTTGCAGAAGTGACTTCTGCAAAATGTCCTAAAATAAGACAATTAACCACCAAAGCATTTGTCAATATCACAGGCAAGGGGCAGTTAAGACATAAGCCCCCAGATGGCAGCAAAAAAAGACAATCAGCACATGGACATTAACCTAATAGGTAGACAGATACGTGACCAGAGCCCTGATTGGCACGGTTCAGCAACCCTGACTGCTTAAGATAGCAAAAGAACTCATAAAAACCCCTAAACTTAGACTCTCCGAGGGCAAATCTCTCGGGACCCCTCCCTCTCTGGGAGCTTTCTACTCTTGCTTTGCTGCCCACCACTCTCCGACTGGTCCACCTCTTCATCCTTCGAAGTGGTGTGACCAAGAACCACAGACCTAAGGGGACAAAAAATCCCATAACAGCAGCAATAAACTAAGCAAAAGATAAATCAAAGTCAATGCTGAGAATATTCCCATGAGAGTGAGCTCAGTAACTATCTTTGCCTGCACACATTGTCCACTTATGACCAGCTTTACAAACGCGAGGCAGCACGGCTCGCCCTTGCTTCAGTCAAAAGAAAGGCAAGGATTCGCTACATTCTGATGTTATCTTGAAAGTATCATGAATGGGGGTGGGAGGATGGGTTAGCCTGGTGGTGGGTATTGAGGAGGGCACGTTCTGCATGGAGCACTGGGTGTTATGCACAAACAATGAATCATGGAACACTTCATCTAAAACTAATGATGTAATGTATGGGGATTAACATAAGAATAAAAAAAAAAAGAAAGTATCATGAAAGTTAGAGTTATTTTTTATTGTGAAGTAAACTCTATAACCCTCACTGCTGGCGATGAAAAGAGATTAGTAGGCTGAACCTCAGACATAATGTAGGAATCGTGTTAAAGCTTGAGTTCCTGTTACTGTCATGAAACGTTTGCCTACTAGGCCCGTGTTTACTTTAGCCCGTTTTTCGTTTAAGGCATTCTGACATTTTGGCACCTACCCTGGGAGGTGTGAGTAGCACCATCCCTCCCCTCCCGGCCCACTGCCCCGCCCTCAGAAATACTTCTGATGCTGCCACACCTGCTCCATGCACCTTCCGGTACATCGCAGTCAGTGGTGGTCACACAGCGGGCACACGGCGGTCGAGTCACAGATTCTCCACGCACTTCCCATCAGCCCTTGGTGCCTCCAGGGCCCCCTGGTTGGGCAAGCAAGGTGTCCCCCCACCAGACGTGCTCAGGATCAGCCATAGCCTCCATGTAGGGAGCATCCGTATACCATCTAAATGCTCTGCAGATGCAGGCCTCCTCCATCCTCACAAACCTCAGGGCATTGGGGACAAACGCAGGATGCAGGGGGTACAAGCAGGAGGTCCCTCTGGCTGCTGCTGGGAACCCCTGGCATCAGCCCCTGCACTCTCAGCCACGGGCCGCCGAGCCACCAGCGCGGGCTTCTTCGTAGTTCGACTCACTTGCCAACAAAAGCCTAACTCTGTGTGCGCCTAACGCTTTGAGATGGAAACCTGTTTTACAGTTCCTTATTGCAGAGATTATCTTCAAAAAAAATGGGGAGTACAAATCTTCAAAAAAGATATTTGTTCTTAATTTGCAATAGAGACAGACTAACCTGCACGGGGTCCCCAGCCTAGCAACCACCAGACCACTGGGTCCCTCACCACCAAGATACCGCCTTAAACCAGACACAAGAAACTAGGCTCCAAGAAGAAAGCCCTCTCTGACTTCCTGGGGTGCCCACAGCTTGCAAGATTTTTCAAAGATTCTAGGAACCTGAAGCCCCAAGCAGACTGAAGGTTGAATCCCTGGCCTGTGACCCGCAGATGCAGAGGCTTCTGGATTAATGGTACACTCAAACCCACTTAAAAAGGGCTGATTCCCAGCACTGCTGGTCCCTAATCAGACTCCTGTGATTCAACCGTGGTAAAATCAGGTAAAAAAAAAAAAAAATGGGGGCGCCTGGGTGGCTCAGTTGGTTAAGCGACTGCCTTCGGCTCAGGTCATGATCCTGGAGTCCCTGGATCGAGTCCGGCATCGGGCTCCCTGCTCGGCGAGGAGCCTGCTTCTCCCTCTAACCCTCCCCCCTCTCATGTACTCTCTCTCTCTCTCATTCTCGCTCTCTCAAATAAATAAATATTTAAAAAAAAAAATGAAGCCATGTTATAAATCTCTAGTGAGACTCTGCAGCCTGAGGCTGCTCTTTTGGTAAAAATGGAGATAATTAGCACGTGACAGAGAGCGAGAGGCCGTGCAGGGCAGCAGGCCAGCAGGCCGTCCCCCGCACAGTCAGGGGGTTTGTCGGAGGGCCTGAGAGAGCAACAACCCCATGGCCCCGTGCGAGTCCTCAGCCGGCCCCTGAGATCTCGTCCCAGTCCCCGGGGCCGCCCATGAGGCCAAGGTCAAAGACAGGAGAACCCGAGAGCCCTCCCCAGTGTGCGCCCACCTCCTCCCTGGGCCCGGGAGCGTGCTCACCCTGGTCGATGGTGTCATATCGGAAATCCTCTCGGCCCTCCTCCCTGGAGCCATCTCCATCGTCCTCCCCAGGCCTCATGGAGTCGGTCTCCCCCTCAGAAACATCTGCCAGAGCCTGGCCCTCCTCCGAGAGCTCCCCGCCACCTGACATGAAGCCACAGGAACCACTCTCATGTAGGCTGCAGGCCTGGGTCTCAGGCGGCTGCTTCCTGGCCTGTCAGTGCCCACTCCCTCCTGCTGATAGTGTGCCCCCCATCCCCTCTGGGGACCCCCCTCTCCTGCTTGAAGTCACCCAGTCCAGCCCAGATCTGGAGTGCCCGAGCCCCATCTCGGCAAGGGGTTCAGATGGGGCACATCTACCTCCCACCGAGAAGCTACACTCTGTTCCCCAGGGTTCACAAGCTGATGGGTGACAATTCCAGAGAGTCGATGAGCATTGCTCTCCAAAGGAAGGGAATGCCCACAAGCAGAGACCAGAGAGGGGAGGCCTGACCCTGCCATGCCTGGGGCTGTCTCCACCCCAGATCTCTCCAGCTGGGGGAACCCCAATACATGAGGACTCCTGCCCAGTGTAACCTTCTCCAACAGCCCTCAGCACCTTGGCTACTTCTCAGGAAGACCACTGGGATGGGGACGGACAGCTGCGGCTGTCACCGGGCTGCTCTCAGCCCTGGCCCAGGCTCAGGCTCACAGCCAGTCGCAGACCGAGGGGGGTGGGCTTTTGGTAGCAGTGCTTCCCAGGGGACCAACCAGGTTGTCCATCTAGCCAGTCAGTCCCACTGCCCCCCCTCTTTCCACCCCCAGCAGGATCCGACCCCCCACATTATCCTGCACACAAAACAGGCCCAGAGTCCCAAGCCCACAAAGAGGAGATGCCCAGTGCCAGCACCCGGGGGGCGCCCCGTACCCTCGGTTCCTGGAGCCTCTTCTGGGCCAGGCCCGTCCGTAGGTGGCTGCTCTTCGGGGAGGGTTGGGGTCCACAGAGACAGTTCTGTGATTTTGGTGGCTTTCCATTTGGGAACCACAGTCATCATTGTCGTCTCCTCCTCCTCCTCCTCTTCTCCTCTTTCCTAATTTAAGTTCAAAAATGTGAAATTACCAGCATGTGTGTAGACTTGGGGTGGAATGTTTACCCCGGGCGGGGGGGGGGGACATTTCGGCCACCATGACAGCACGGCTCAGTGGTCAGCCCAGTTGTCAGCTGCCCCTGGTGGGATCTCGGCTCAAAGGTGGATCTTGGAATCGCTAAGACGAGGCACAGACAGGCATCACCACGTGGCACATTCATGTTCCCGCTCCTGCCGTGAGCGGCTTCCGGACTCGACATTCCCAGCCTTCTGGAGCAGTTAAGAAGTGACCGAGACCGGGTGTGGCTTTCATGTGCTCGGTCACATTTTCCGGGTCTCAGATTTTTTGTGTATAATTAGCTAGCCTCCCTGGCAGAAAAGGGCTGGAGGCATCCTAAGACGACCATATAGCATGGAAGGGCCTGAATACTAAAGCTGTAGAATCAAGGATTATGGGGGAAATGAAATCTCATGAAAGTAGAGGGAGAGTTGATCTCTCTAAATGTGGGATCTTTTGTAAGAGTGTACAATTCCGGCAACTGAGCAGCCAGCACATGCCCATTGGGCCGAGCATGCCAGCCTAGTCCCCAGTCTTGTAACTGTCACAAATTTCCCAAGATCTGAGTATCAGTAAATGTGGGAAATGTCACTGTCACATAGAGGATGATACCTATGACAAAGAGTGACAGAGACCTACCTATTACTTCCGCTGAGTCGCTCAGAACTAGATGGCTTGGTTGCCAAATTTCTGAGCTCCATCCCCATGAAGGGTGATGTCAGTGCCCTAGAATCACCGAGGGGCTCGTGAAAACAGGGGCCGGAGCTTCTGCGTAAAGACGTCGTGGGTGGGGATGCGATGCTGCAGGCCCTGGACCACACCTGGAGAGCTGTTGCCTCACGTCCTCTGTGGTCTTTGTCCGATTTCTCTGCTTATCACAGCCCCGGTCGTCATCCCAGAAAGCTCAGGTGCGGCCTTAGACTGAGGCCCTCGGGTTGTGTGTAACTCCCCAGGCTTATTCCTGAACAGGAGCGGTTCTGGGGGCTTATGGCAATGGCCAGCTGCTCCCCCTGACCGCAGCTGCATGGGGGCTTCCACAGGAACAGTGACGTGATACCGCTCGGTTCCGGGAATTTGGGTCTGGACCGAGGCACGTGCACACGGGGGGATGACAGCACAACGTTGCCAAGAGCTGGCATGACTTCCATGTGACCTGATGGGATCTGTGGGCTCAATACCCCCAGGCAGCTCTTTGGCCTACGGACAGAGGACGCTGTTATGCACTCTGCCACTCACCACATCTGTTAGACGGTACTCCCCATGCTGCTCACATCCGATATCAAACACGTACTTTCCAGGGCCTATAGGCTGCGGGCAAGGAGAGACCAAGAAGGGCTTCACTCTTCACCACCCAATGGAGCACGCAAAATGCCGCAGAGATGTCACCTCCAGAAAACCTGCCCAAAGTCAGGCAGGGGGACAGCCAATGCGGATTAAAGACAGCTTTTATGAACTGATGGCCAATGGAATTACCAAGTATAGAGCCTGTTTGCTTTGTTATTTAAACTTTAGTTTTATCTTTACAAAAGTAATGTATTTATTACAAAAATTTCACTAAGTCCAGACCCACAGGCAAACGAGGTAGAGATAGAAGTGCTAATAATATTGTGACATGTCTTGGGGCCCCTGGGTGGCTCAGTCGGTTAAGCATCTGACTCTTGATTTCGGCTCAGGTCATGATCTAAGGGTCATGAGATCGAGCCCCTTCACAGGCTCTGCGCTAGGCGTGGAGTCTGCTGGAGATTCTCTCTGCCCCTCCCCCTGCTGCCCTCTAAATAAATAAATGAATAAATGAATAAATGAGATCTTTAAAAAATGTATATTGTGACATAGTCTTTATAGCCTTATTCCTTATTTCCAGTACATAGATTTTTCTAAATAAAAGTTTGACCGTAATTACACACACCGACTCATACTCTACTTCTACCTAGAAACATGGCATAAATGAATTCCCATATTTACCAATAGTCTTCCACAATTCCAGTTCTCAATCTGGTATTTTCTTTCACTTAAGAATTAGAATCTATTTTACCCATCTACTATTGTTAATATTTGGCATGCCGACGCTAACCTTGGACAAAGACCACTGCAGGAGACACATTCGGAGTCATGTCTTACGTACATTCTTGATATTTCCTGAGGGAAGTTTTCAGAAGTGGAATTTCTTGTATACACACACACACAGTGTGTACATATATACTCACAAAATATATAGGCACACCTATTTTTTTATGTATTGACCAGAATGAGGCTCCAATAATTCTCCTTCCCACAACAGCACTTAAGAGCCCCTTGTCTTCAAACAAGGGGCTCTTATTTTTCCTGGGCATTAACATTTTGCTCTATCTTTACATTTTTTAAAGATATATAAAACAGGATCTCATCATGAAATCACATCTTTAAGCTATTAGTAGGGTTGGATTTTTTTCAACATTTTTGACCACTTAAATCACATTGATTGATGCAAATGCTTTATGTATTTATATTTAATGTTACAAATATCCTGGCCCCATTGGTAATTTATCTCTTAAATTTTCTTTATGGCGCGTTCTAATCAATAAGGGATTATTTTTAGCAAGCAAAATCTGTTGGGTTTTCCTTTATATTTCTGTTTGGAAAGTCCTCTTTCCTCATTTCAAAGTTAATGAACATGTATTTTTTTCTGTGGTTTTGTTTACATTTAAACCTTCACTCCCTCTAGTGCATGTCTTCATCTCACGCTGGATAACAAAGTGACTTTGTTTTTCTCCCAAATGGTTATCAAGTTGTCTGAGCACCGCTCCTTGACTTCTCCCCATCACGTCCTCATTAGTTTAAATGACGCCCTTTTCAGGAGCTAAATTACCACCATATGCACTTGAATCTGTCCCTAGACTTTCTAATCTGCTTACAGATTTCCCCATGGAGATCAATGAAGCAGATTAGAAAGTCTAGGGACAGATTCAAGTGCATATAGTAATGCATTTATCAAAGCTTTAAAGTATGTTTTAACAACTTGTCAGCAAGGATATGAACAGGTAATTCTCTGAGGAAGATAGTCAAACCAGTAGCAAAATTGTGTAAAGATGCTGGACTTCACTAGGAATCGGGAAAATGCACATTAAAACAACAAGACATTTTTTAACCATCAGATTTGCAAAAACATTAAAGACTGGTGACATCCAACAACGTTGGAGACTATGTGACAGAGACTCTCAGAGTCTATTCACCAGAGTATGAACTGGCAGAGCCCTTTAGAGCAGTTGTGGCGATATCAATCATGATTCAAAATGTCAATATTTGTAGACTCAGCAATGGCAGTATCTAACCTATGTAAATATTCCCAAATGCGCAAAAAGAGAGACATCTCTGTGCGTATTTTCGTGGCCTAATGTACTGTGATCCTATTTATATAGTGACAGCCCCGTGCTGTCCGTAAACGTTTGCGTACATGCTGCACAGAAAGATGTGCGGAGGGTCACACGCCAGAGGGAGAAGGGAGGGCTGGAACTCAGGGGGGCAGTGGAGGGCCGAGCGTCTGGGGGCTTTACAAGTGGAACGGAAGCTGACCCTTGAACAACGCAGGTCTGAACTGCACCAGTCCACTTATATGCGGATTTTTTTCAATAAATACAGAGCAGTGCTATAAATGTGCTTTCTCTTCCTTATGATTTTTTTTTTTTTTTAAAGATTTTTATTTTATTTATTCATGAGAGACAGAGAGAGAGAGAGGCAGAGGGAGAAGCAGGCTCCCAAGGAGCAGGGAGCCCGATGCGGGACTCGATCCCAGGACCCTGAGATCATGACCTGAGCCGAAGGCAGACGCTTAACCATCTGAGCCACCCAGGCGCCCCTCCTTATGATTTTCTTAATAACATTTCCCTTCCTCTAGCTTACTGTATTATAAGAATACAGTATTTAATACATATACAAAGTATGTGGCTTGCTTGGTGGTAAGAATACAGCCTGTAACACCTGTAACGTACAAAGTATGTGTTAGTCGACCGTTTAGGTTGTCAGTAAGGCTCCCGGTCAACAGCATGCTCTTGGTAGTTAAGTTTTGGGGGGGGTCAAAGTTCTATGTGGACCTTCAACTGTGTGGGGGCGGAGGGGGGATCAGGGGTCAGTGCCCCCGACCCCTGCATTGTTCAAGGGTCAACTGTCCTTGTGTGCTCTTTGCATAGTTTTCACTAACTAGCAGAACAAAGCTCTTGTTCTCCAGGTTAGTCTACGCTCAGCCGCATTCGTTGATTCTTCCCGATTAACTTTTGTCAAACTCTCTTCCCCATAATATCCCATGAGAGTTTTGCTGAGAATTACATACACAACATATAGATTCGGGGAGGACGTGCCGCTCTACAAAGACTTAAAAGTAGAATCTGTAATTAGGGAATGAATTTTCTGTAAGTGAAAACTGAGTTTTAAGAGAGTCTGAGGTGACTTCATTAAATTAGTTTAATATTGCCTGCATCAACTTCTTTTTTTTTAAGATTTATTTATCTGAGAGAGAGCGAGCAGGGGGAGGGGCAGAGGGAGAGGGAGAGTCCTCCAGCAGACTCCCCACTGAGCACAGAGCCTGATGTGGGGCTCAATCTCACGACCTGAGCTGAAACCAAGAGTCAGATGCCTAATCAACTGTGCCACCCTGGCCCCCCCTTCTATGTCAACTTCTACCGCCTTTAATTTGCTCGGCAAACTCTTCAGGGGAAGTTTCTGGCCAACGCCGGCTCAAAGCCACGAGGAACACCAGCATGGTGGGGGCTCAATATACAGGGCTTCTCTGCATCCCAGCAAGGCTTGGCATAGCCACAGAGCCCTCCAAACAGAAATGACCAATGGTGAGCACTGCGGACTGGACACCTCCACGCCCAAGTCCACGCCCAGGGCGGGTGGGCTAGCCTGCAGCAAGGAAGAAGCTCGTGGGTCTCCCTTCCCAGGGCTCGAGCCTCGTGCCTCCCAGGGCAAAGAAAGTCCAAACACCCACATGCTCAACCACAGGAAATGTTTCACATCTGATCTACTCATGATGAGGAGCACATATGAGAGGCAGGATGTCCCAGTGTTATAACTACGGGATGGGTCACTGCCCGGGGAGAGGGGGGATTTCGGTGAGATGCAGAGAAAAGAACCAAGTGCCCCTCCACTCTGCCCTCTGTCGGCGTCAGAGGCTTGGGGAGAGGCACGGCTCCCCACTTTCTGTATTTGGAGGGGGTGGGAGGGTTCCCTGAGTTTTTAGTATTCTTCGTCGCCATATTTACATAGACTGGGGGAGGAGGGCGCACATCGTTTCCCACCGACTTACGTTTTTGTTCAAGAACTTGCCCTGGTACCTATGGTTCAGGTGAATGAGCTCGGCCGCACCCTCTTGCTGTCCATTCACCCAGGTACCTACGTACTTACTGCCCGTCTCTGCATAGAAATAGGTGCCTTGCCCGTGCCTGGTTAAGACAGAGAGAACAATGCGTTTTGTTCCAATACAGTGAAAAACCTTCCAGGTTTATAAGACACATTTAAATTGAGAGGGCCCTATACTTTACTTCTCTATCTGTGCCCCATCAGAGCGCACTCCTGCTCCGTGTGCCCAGCATGGGAGGGGCATCACCTGCAGGAGAGCGACGCCCGTCCCGCACATCAGCCGCTTCACACGGAAAGAGGCAGCGCTCCTGGGAGCTGTGTGTCCCCAGGAGGGTACTTCGGTGGCCTCCCGGCCCTGGGGGCTCTTGAATGAAGGACCACATATTCTCCCCGCGAGTCTGCCCCTGCCCAGTAACGTCGCATCTGGCGTGCCCACCTAAAAGTCTCGAAGGGTTTGGACGGCCTGGCAGAGCTGGCTAATGGGCTTTTGTCATGATTCGGCCCCATACTAAGACGTCGTCATAGTCTCATTACATAGGTAAGTCGACAGAACAGAAGTGAGAACGCAAACCTTTGGTGAGCAAACCACTCCCCCGTGTAGGTGTCGTTATTGACGTAGTAGTAGATGCCGTAACCGTGCCTTTGGTCGTCCGCCCACTCCCCTGGAAGGGATGACACAAAGCAGGCCTGGGTGAGAAGGGAGAGAGGACCTTCACCTGCTGTCTCCTCCCTCTGTGACTCCCCTCTGTCCCCCTGCCCCTCCAGCTGGATGGCGTGGCGTGGGGGTCCGGTTAAGGGAAGCTGAGCCAGGGGCTCCCCGGATGCAGGTCTGGGCAGGGGCAGGCAGGTGGGCTGCAATGAGCTGAGCGTGCCAACAGCAGGTATCACGGCTGGTCAGTGGCAGAGCAAGGATTTGAACCCGGGTTTTTGTCTGCCCAGCTGTCCCGCACACTCGTTCTGCTTGCATATGTTTAGCGATCCAGCACCACCACCAAGGCTCGATGATCTCTTCTCGGCCCCTTGCCAGCAGCTTGCTCTATTCCCACTCATCACCTGGCTCCCACACAGCTTTCCAGCCCAGGCGCCCGGGGTGCCCCACCTGCACACCAGCCCCTGCCTCTGCTTGGACCCTTCCCTCACTAATTGTCTCTGCCTCCTCACCTCTGTGCCGGTTCCTGCGAATCTCCTGCTGACTTGCTGAGAAATATTGGAATTGGCAAAGATACCATAAACTGCCTCATACCTCTACCATAATGACAACAGCAAACTAGTTAGTGAACGCAGTCGATCCTTGAGGATGGATCCCTGCACCAGGAGACTTATAACGCCCTCCAGTCTTACGGCTCACACAGGAAAGAAACTTAATAGAGGTTTCTGAGGTTGACAACTCTCCTAAAAACACACATGGTATTGCTAATAACAAGTTGTTACCCTGAATGACGCTTTTCGAGACTATGAACAATTTTTTAAAAAATGAATTTTGATCAATTTTTGATCAAAGACAAAAGATAGAATTCTCTATTTTCTCTGTAGAAAGGGATATTACAAAATTGTTGTCGGACAGACATTCCATTATTAGCTAGAAAGGTAAGGAAAAGAAGTGAGGCAGGCATGTCAGTTAATTTTTTTAAACATCTATTTGTCACTTCCTCAGATTTTGTAATGTCCGTGGTATTTTAAAATTGTTTTTATTTATTTTGATTTTTTATTACAAATAAACATTCACATTTATGCCAATGTTATATTCTTTTTCTTAAATAGAGCCCCCGAAACTTGCATAAGCTCCTGGCTTACAAGAAAACTGGACCCGCTTCTGCATGAAGAGAAAGCGTACGCAGCATGCCAAGAACATGTGGATCTTCCAAGAAGTATGTGTTTACATGAGTGAACCCCATGTTCGTCGACAACAACAAATCTACAGAAGGGCACGTCTACATGTTTTCCCTATCAGTCCCACAGGTCTCAAGCACTCTGTGAGACAGACAAGCAGTGGTTCCAGGAACAGAGCCGCCCTGGGAGAGCCTGCCCTCGCCCCAGGCGGGAGGCCGACCCCCAGCCACAGAAAGAGCTGCGGGCTCAGGAAACAGCTAACAGCCCAGAGAGAAGGAGCTGGGAACTGGTACCAGCGAAGGAAGAGGCGTGATGTGTGCCAGGAGCAGCATGAGCAAGGGTGATGGAGAACCCCCAAACTGAAATAAATAGTCCAGCAAACACAGGGGCTCGAACCTAAAGCTGCCCTGAGGATAGAGAGTGTGCAGAAGTCCTGGAGGACTTGGGCTTTAAGGGGTCACTGTGTCTTGGTAAATTACCAGTTTAAAAGAAGGAGGAGGAGAAGAAGGAGGAGGAGGGCAGATGTGTAGCACGGACTGGTTTCTGAGGTGTAAATATTCCCACTGAGGCCACGGTTGAGCTGAGTACTGGGCTGGGGACAAGCAGCCCAGAACTGGCTTGTGTGAGTGCTCAGGAACTGAGCAAGCAGGGCCCCGGGGGCCAAGACGTCCCTCGGTTTCTTCCCCCAAAAAAGACCATAACAAAAAGATTCCATCCTCTTCTCTTGGCCATGAGAGCTGGTCTCCAGGGCAGCATGGCAAGAAAAATGTAGTAAGTATTTTGCAGAAATTTTTCAAGAAAAAAAATTAAATTACAAGGGCACCTGGGTCCCTCAGTCAGTTGAGCATCTGACTCTTGATTTTGGTTTGGGTCATGATCTCAGGGTCATGGGATTGAGCCCCGTGTCCAACGGGCTCCACTCTCAGTGGGGGTCTACTTGAGATTCTCTCTCCCTCTCCCTTTGTCTCTCCCCCCATGTTCTTTCTCTCTCTAATAAATAAATAAATGTAAAAAATAGGGAAGGAAGAAAGGAACGAACGAACGAACGAACGAACGAAGGAACGAAGGAAGGGAGAGAGAGAGAGGGAGGGAGGGAGGGAGGGAGGAAAGAAGGGAGGAAGGGAGGGAGGGAGGGGCGCCTGGGTGGCTCAGTCGGTTAAGCATCTGCCTTCAGCTCAGGTTCCTGGGATCGAGTCCCACATCGGGCTTCCCTGCTCAGCGAGGAGTCTGCTTTCTCTCTCTGCCTCTGCCCCTCCCCGCCTCTCTCTCAAATAAATAAAATCTTAAAAAAAAAAAAAATAAGAAAAAATTAAACTGCAAAAGGCACCAAATTTTAAGCCAGTGCAGAAACTTTTTTTTAAAAGTCCCAGTTTACGGAACAAACAAGCTGTTAGAGATCCTGCGCAGCAGATGGTAACCGGGCCACAGGAAATGGTGCAGAAGTGAGGGAGCTAAGTGAGGGAAAGGTCGCCTCCTGGAGCAGGTCTTTAACAACCATGAGGCAGGTTTCCCTTTTTATACTGCATGCCACTGAGAAACTGTATTACTGTTGCTTTAAATGTGCACTTTGTTTTTTAAAGTCTTTCTACCCCTAATCCTATACTTTCTCCTCATTCTCGACCGTGTCAACAGTTTTTCAGCTACATTTCTGTTTGGGAGAAATCCCCATAGTTGGTTGCCTGGGTTCTGGGTTGGTTTTCCTCCGGGAGAGCACTGTCCCCTTACAAAGCTCTCCATGTGCATCGACCATGCGGCTGTCCCCAGGCTTCCGGAGCTCCCAGGTCTGGAGCTCTGGGGATTAAAGACCGTTTAAAATGAAATGCCCTGGGGTGCCAATCAAGCATCTGACCCTCGATTTCAGCTCAGGTCATGCTCTCTGGGTCGTGCGATCAGGCCCCGAGTCAGGCTCTACACTTGGTTCGGAGTCTGCTTGGGATTCTCTCTCCCTCTCCCTCTGCCCCCTCACCCCTGCTCATGTGCATGTGCTCTCTACCCGCCCCCAAACAAATAAGTAAATACATAAATCTTTAAAAAAATAAAATAAAACAAAACAAAAATAAAATGAAATGAAATGCCCTTCCAAGAAGCTCTCTTCCTACTTAAAATGAGGGTTAGTCACTGTCTGTCCTGCTGGGTCCCTCCACTGCTGGGTCAGCAAAACATGGAAGAGATGGGAACTGACATTGGTGGGGCATCACTCTGGTGGTTGTTCCTGCCAACTAGGGTCTTTGCATTGGCCACCTCCTTAGGGATGTGTAATAACTGAAACATGTTTTTATAGGGACAGCACCCAAAAACCAGAGAGATCATGCACATTGCCCAAGGCCACACAGCAGGACGGAAACGAAAATCAGGGTTTCCCAGGCTCCAACATCATGCTCTCCTCCACAAGCACCAATGGCCAAGCATTCATGTCTTCTTCCAGCTCCTGCCACCTGAGAGCTTCCAGAAAAGCCAACGTCAAGTCATCATAGCATTTTGTCTCTCCACGGTGTCATTACTAAACATCTTCATCTTTATTTGCTCCTTGCGGCCGGTAACAGGACCAGCACTGGAGACGGGTGCTCCCTCTCCTTTCCCAAGCCCTCACTGACCCTCTATCCCCACATCTCACAATCTATAGAGGTGGTCCAAACGGCCCTCCAAAGTCTGGCACCCACTCACCCCTCCAACCTCATCCCCTGCTCCACCAAGCACCCCTGCCTCCCTGCCTCTGCTCAAGTGGCCCCCAAACCAGGAATGTGCGCTCGTCCCTGGGCTCCCCATCGGGCTCAGCTGGGAGATCAGCAATGTGCCCCCCACCTCGGGCCGAGGCTGAGCACTCTCGCTAACCTGCAGGAAACCACTCTGCGTCCCTTAGGTTGACCGTCGCCCAACACGACAGGCGAAGAATTCAGCCATGTGTTAACTTAGACTTTGTGACTGGAAGGTTGTTCACTTACTGAGCTAAAATTAACATTGTAGCTTCTGACGCCCAAGAATAAATCTCTGAGCAGCGATTACACCCTGCACCTTTAAGGTACAAAGCCACATGGACACACAAAAATTCACAGCTACTTCCAAAGAAGGTTTACATGTTGGCTAACTTTCACGTTAAAAACTCCTTTGATCCCTTATTCTGAGTATCTTTTTTATATATTTACATGTTGTTCAGCTTGTATTAAGGTCTACACTAAAATACAACATGACAACAATGAGATTAAGTTCATAACAGTCTGAAAGGAATTAAATCAAACACTAAATTGTTTAAAGTTGATTTAAAAAGCAGATGGTGCTCCTCCTGGAATAAGCCCTCTAAGAAATATGAAACAGAGCAGAAATTCCCTCTCTAACACGACCAGCATTGGCACCCTTCCCCTGGCTCTCGGACACTGGCAGGATCTCTGGTTTAGAGTTCCTTGGTCCCACTTTCATTCAGCAACAAGAGAGGCAGCTCTGGCTTGCACCCGAAGGACACGTCCTCATCAGGAAGCGATGCCACCGAGCCGACACATACTGAGTGCTCGCCATCCGTCAGGCACGGTTCCTAGTGTTCGATCCTCCCACACTGCGGACCAGAAAGCTGGGACAGTGAGCAGTGAGCCTCCCTACACGAGGTCATACCTCTTGTCACCACAGCTCCAGGGGTGCGGTCACAGGCCTCCTGGGAAATCTGATGAAAACTGGATACATTCTTCCCAGAAAAAGTCCAGAACACAGAATCCTGCATAGTTTCTGAGGGCTCCCACCCACTCCCCGCTTGTCTCTCTTCTGCTCTGTGAGCACATCTTACCTTCATATCTTGATCCATCTGGGTATATAAAAGTGCCATGACCATGCTTTTTATTGTTAACGTATTCTCCAATGTACCGAGCACCGTTTTTAAATTTGTAGACCCCCTGAAACACATTGATTATAGACAATTCGTATCATTCCTGAATTCAGGGCTCACCACGAGAGTATTAGCTGGAGAAAGCTACCCACCGAAGGCACCCATTCTGACCTGGCCGTGTCTTTTCCCGTGTTCATAATTCCCTTCATACGTGTCCCCATTGGGCAGTCTTGCTTTCCCGTGTCCGTGTCGTTCACCTACCTCATTCCGCTCCCCCTCGTATTCCTGGGCAGGAGAGACAGGGATAATTACAGCCACCGTGTATTAATCACTAAGGATGGGTTAAGCATTTTTGTAAATAGTATTTCACGGAATCCCTCCCAATCCTCAGCCCCATCTTACAGGTGAGGTAGGTAACCACACCTGAGCGATGAGGAGCATTGGTCCAAGGTGACATCCCTAGGACCTGTCACTGGTGGGAGCCTCCCTTGCTCTCTCCAACATCTGAGCTTGCAATTTATCATGATAATCCTTTACACTGTAAACAAAATCGACAAATTGTGGAAAACTCGAGGTATTCCGAATTGTGTTCTTTATGGGAACATGTGCGAAGTAATAGATGCAGGTGGAATAGGTCTCAAGCCACACAAATACCTCCCTGTGGCTTCCTCCAATAATCCAGGACTTAAAATGCAAAAAACCGCCTCTTCTTTCAAGGATCCGTGGGAGCCTGTGGCCTCCTGACAGCTTTCACCCTCAGGAGGGGCCTGTGGGAGGGGAAGCCACATGGGGGAGCTGAGGAGTAACTAGGGCTCAGTTGTCACAAGAGTCCCTAACTCCACTTAGTTAATCTCCTTATCAAGTTTAAAGTCCTTATCAAGAGACTTGAGTTTGAAACACTCATAGACTAATACGGAAATAATTATGTATCTTAAATCAAATAAAGAAAACCTAACACAGGCTTGTAATTCACCTACTTTCTCCTACCCTTCACAAAATAAACATTCCTCAAGCATCTAATCATGAGTGCAGGGTGCACATAATAAATAATAAAAGGGCCAAGGCACAGAGTAATGATTTGACATGGAGTTGTATCTGCAAAGATTTACTACAACACAAGCTCGGAAACACTACCAGGACTTCAGAAACAAACACCTCTGCAGTCTGCCCTTGCCTAGCACTACCTAGCTCAGAAATCCTTGCTCGGAACAGAAGGTAAAAATGTGTGACCTTACAGATTTGTTTCAGGGTTAGTCTAAATCAAAATGTATAGAAGCTACACCCCCCCCCCAGAAGACCTCCCAATGCACCCAGGACTGAGCTGAGGTGACTGAACGGGAGGGGAACTCTTTAAAATGACCCCAGCTGTGATTTAAAGCTAAAATTATGGGCACAAAAGAGTTACAAAACACTAGGGCTACCTGAGGAGACAAACTCGAAGGCTTACTCGGCAGATGCTGTAGGTTGGGTTCCCCCAGAAGCAGACCCTGAGCAAGTGATTTTTTAAAAGTGCTCCCCGAGAATCAGTAGAGGGAGAAACAGATATGAAAGAGGAGCATGGGGGGGGGTGTCAGGAGGTGTCCCAGACTCGACCTCACTGCACAGGGGATTCTGGAGTGTAAATCACTGCAGTTTGTCCTGCTTTTTAGCACTAGCTGCTGGCTATCTGGAGAGCACGCAGATCCCAGGCTTCTGGCCCTCGGTACCGGCCGGGTGGTTGCACTTCATAGACGTGCTAGTCTTGAGCAGTAACCGGGGCAGAAGCTGGGAGATGGACACACAGAGCTCGCAAAAAGGTCAGAGCAGGCACCAACCCATCTATCACAGCGGAGGCGACAGACTTCCCAGTTACCTCTGAAACTATCTCAACTCCGTACACCATGGCTGGGGTTCCCACCTGCCGGCCAGGAAATGGTCACCCCCTGGGGCAGAGTGATTAATCTGTGGACATGAGAAAGCCCAGCTCCCACGGCTGGACGCTGTGCACCCGGCCCCGCCTCTCTGCTGCCTAAACCGGGGGATCCAACGACTTGGGTCAGCTCCGCAAGGCTGAAGGAAGCACGTGGGACTCCGGGTCTCTGGGGCAGAATGTTCTGGAAGCCTCCGCTGAGACGTCCTCAGCGTCTCTCGAAGGCTGCCGCGAAGCCGCTTTCCTCCCTCCGCCTCGGTCCCGAGGGGCCGGGCTCCACGCAGAAAGGACTGCTCCGGACAGCACGGCGGGCCGAGTGACCCAGCCGACGCGGAGAGCGCCTGGACGGGGAGCGGCCGCAGGGACGAGGGGGCTTCCCGAGGCTTTGACTCGGAAACGGTTGCCTTTACCGGGAGGCGGGAGGCGGAGGGGACGAGACGCGGGAAGCGGGGCGGCAAGGAGACGTCAGCGCTTCGCCCTTCACCGCCAACTTCCAGGACGCGGCGCCTCCCTGCCCCTGGCCGGGCAGCCTCCCGCTCGCCCCGAGCGCTCACCCCAAGATCATTCTCTCCCTCCTCCTCCAACTCCTCCGAGCCCACGTCCGACATGGCCTCGCCCCGCCCTCGGCCCTCGCCGCCACCAGCGCGTCCCCGGTCGGTAGGTCCCCGCCGCCCGCACCGCCGCGTCCGCCGTCGCCCTGGACACGCGGCCTGCCCCGCCTCCCCGCGGGCGGGGGCGGAGGCGCCGGGCGGAGCCGCCGGCGGCGTTCGGGTGCCGTCCGAGCAACGCGAAGGGGCGCCCCGGCCTGTCGCCGCCCCGGAAGGGAGGGGGCGTGGCCTGGGGCGGGAAGGGGCGGGGCGTGGCCTGGGGCGGGAAGGGGCGGGGCGGGAAGGCGCGGGGCGGAGCCGCCGGCGGCGTTCGGGCGCCGTCCGAGCAACGCGAAGGGGCGCCCCGGCCTGTCGCCGCCCCGGAAGGGAGGGGGCGTGGCCTGGGGCGGGAAGGGGCGGGGCGGGAAGGCGCGGGGCGGAGCCGCCGGCGGCGTTCGGGTGCCGTCCGAGCAACGCGAAGGGGCGCCCCGGCCTGTCGCCGCCCCGGAAGGGAGGGGGCGTGGCCTGGGGCGGGAAGGGGCGGGGCGGAGCCGCTGGCGGCGTTCGGGTGCCGTCCGAGCAACGCGAAGGGGCGCCCCGGCCTGTCGCCGCCCCGGAAGGGAGGGGGCGGGGCCTGGGGCGGGAAGGCGCGGGGCGGAGCCGCTGGCGGCGTTCGGGCGCCGTCCGAGCAACGCGAAGGGGCGCCCCGGCCTGTCGCCGCCCCGGAAGGGAGGGGGCGTGGCCTGGGGCGGGAAGGGGCGGGGCGGAGCCGCTGGCGGCGTTCGGGTGCCGTCCGAGCAACGCGAAGGGGCGCCCCGGCCTGTCGCCGCCCCGGAAGGGAGGGGGCGTGGCCTGGGGCGGGAAGGGAGGGGGCGTGGCCTGGGGCGGGAAGGGGCGGGGCGGGAAGGCGCGGGGCGGAGCCGCCGGCGGCGTTCGGGCGCCGTCCGAGCAACGCGAAGGGGCGCCCCGGCCTGTCGCCGCCCCGGAAGGGAGGGGGCGTGGCCTGGGGCGGGAAGGGGCGGGGCGGAGCCGCTGGCGGCGTTCGGGTGCCGTCCGAGCAACGCGAAGGGGCGCCCCGGCCTGTCGCCGCCCCGGAAGGGAGGGGGCGGGGCCTGGGGCGGGAAGGGGCGGGGCGGGAAGGCGCGGGGCGGAGCCGCCGGCGGCGTTCGGGCGCCGTCCGAGCAACGCGAAGGGGCGCCCCGGCCTGTCGCCGCCCCGGAAGGGAGGGGGCGTGGCCTGGGGCGGGAAGGGGCGGGGCGGAGCCGCTGGCGGCGTTCGGGTGCCGTCCGAGCAACGCGAAGGGGCGCCCCGGCCTGTCGCCGCCCCGGAAGGGAGGGGGCGGGGCCTGGGGCGGGAAGGCGCGGGGCGGAGCCGCTGGCGGCGTTCGGGCGCCGTCCGAGCAACGCGAAGGGGCGCCCCGGCCTGTCGCCGCCCCGGAAGGGAGGGGGGCGTGGCCTGGGGCGGGAAGGGGCGGGGCGGAGCCGCTGGCGGCGTTCGGGTGCCGTCCGAGCAACGCGAAGGGGCGCCCCGGCCTGTCGCCGCCCCGGAAGGGAGGGGGCGGGGCCTGGGGCGGGAAGGCGCGGGGCGGAGCCGTGGCAGCTTTCGGTGCTGTCATAGCACCGGGAGGGGTACCTCGACCAGGCGCCGCCCGGGCAGAGGGAGGGGGCGGGACTTGGGACGGGCTTGGTACCCGCTAGCTGTCCAACCTGGACCCTGCAGTCGGCTGCTGGGTGATGCTCTAACGAGGAGCCACCTTTGCACCAGGGCCATAAAGACGTGGTGCACAGAAGACGCACAGAGACCAGCTCTGGACAGGGCTTCACCTCTGCCTGGCGCTGGGCACTGCCCCATCCGACCCGTCCCCTTGGCTTCTTGGGTCCCTCCATGGGCCCTGCCCCCTCCTCCTCACCTTCTGGGCTCTTCTGACCCTTCGGTGTTGGCAGTCCAGAGAGATACGTCCGCCGAGAGCTTTTCTCGTGTTTATAAACCTCCTCCTGACGCAAGGAGTCAGCTCTAACCTCAGCAGAGGCGCGTCCACACGGATGCCCTTCAGAGTTTGACATCCCTTCTCCACCCCGAGCCTGAGTCCAGTCCCCTCTATACCCCAAGGGGGAAAGGAGTTCAACTCCATGTATCGTCTACCTGCTTGTCATCTATCCACCTATCTATCATCCATCTAGCTAGCTATCAGCCCCCACAGCACCTAGAAAAGTGTTTTTCACCCAGTAGATGCTCAGCCAAGCCAGTGAAATCCAGTCCATAGGGGCCTTTAGATCCCAGGTGAGATGGAAATATGGTTGAGGTCTTTCTTCATCAGTGGTACTTAAAAGAACCTCTATTTTGTATGTGTAAATAGACAAAGACCACCCAAATGAACACGCAAAAAACATTTATTCAGAGCTTGCCCTAGCAAGGAAGTCAGCCGTCATCACTTGCATTTTGGCAGAGACTCACAGGCAGGTGGAGGGGCGGCAAAGCTTACAGTGGAAGCGAGAGGGAGCTCCAGGTGTGCCCTGATTGGAGGCTGTTGGCTCAGGGAAGCTGTAGGTGGTTATCTAGAAGTGGTTATCTAGATGATTGGTTAGCAATGCAAACTGAACTTTCTCTGGTTGGTCCTAAGCTGGAAGTGGGGACAAAGATTAAGGAATTGCTCAGTTATTAGTCAAGTCCTGGCCAATTGTTACAGGGGTTATTGTTTGCTCCTAGATCAATTGGTGGAGATAGCAGACTGACTTCCTACAAGTCTGACTTACAGCACACTGGCTTCCTGGACTGGTTACTGTAGATAATGGGTTGGTTTCCTAGGCTGTAGCTTATGGGTCAGAGTTTTGTTCTTCTATATGGTTTGACCATTGTACATTTGTATAATTACACATTTGCAAGTTACACAAATAACTGTGTTGTCTCAAATCTCAATATTGTTGGGTTTGGGGTTTTAATACCTTGAACAATAACAATAACCCAATCATTTTATTTCTTTAAACCTAATATTTAAGTACTCAAAAAACTGAGCTAAATGGAGGGGGAACAGGTCTTAAAGTCATCATTGTTCACTGAAAACATTACTCTCCTAGAGCTAGAATGCCTAAGTTCTAATTCTGGGTTCCGATGGCTTTGGTGACTTCAGGCAATTCACCTGCCCTCTGAACCTCAGATTCCTATTTTGTAAACTGGGGAGGATAAGCCCTTCCTATCTCAAGGAGCTGCCATGGGGATCAAAGATAATATTTTATTAATGTATTGTTATTTATTATGATAGCTACCTAATGTTAACAATAAAAATATTACAAAGAAATCACGTATCATTAAAAGAAAGTTCCCCTCACACCCACCCCAAGATGTGTTGTTTGTTGTTGCTGTGGGGGTAGGTGGAGGAGTGGCTGAGGAAACATTTTGATCTTGCCGACAGCCTTACAGATGCCAAACCCATGAGGGGAAGCATCCACAGATCTTCCAGAGCACACATACTTTGCAGCCTTTCCCTCAGAAACAATGACATAATGGAAGATAGTGATCTTAACCAAATCTCAGGCCCAAACACATCACTTACTGAAAAAAGAAACAATTTACAAGCAAATTAACACACAAGACCCTACAATTAGCATTACTTGTTAGTTGCAAAGAAAAAAGATTGTAAACACCAAAATTTAACAGTTTTTCTTCTGGGAAAAAGTGAGGTGTTTGGGAAAAAGATGATCATGATCTTCATTATACTTGGCAGTTGCCATATTTACCACAATTAAGCATTGGAGGCTGTTGGCTCAGGGAAGCTGTAGGTGTCTTTTTATAATAAAATGTCAAAAATATTTTATTTTATTTTTTATTGTTATGTTAATCACCATACATCATTAGTTTTTGATGTAGAGTTCCATGATTCATTGTTTGTGCATGACACCCAGTGCTCCATGCAGGACGTACCCTCCTTAATACCCATCACCAGGCTAACCCATCCTCCCACCCCCCTCCCCTCTAGAACCCTCACTTTGTTTTTCAGAGTCCATCATCTCTCATGGTTCGTCTCCCCCTCCGACTCCCCCCCTTCATTCTTCCCCTCCTGCTATCTTCTTTTTTTTTTTTTTAACATATAATGTATTATTTGTTTCAGAGGTACAGGTCTGTGGTTCATCAGTCTTATACAATTCACAGTGCTCACCATAGCACAAAGCCTCCCCAATATCTATCACCCAGCCACCCCATCCCTCCCACCCCCCACCACTCCAGCAACCCTCAGTTTGTTTCCTGAGATTAAGAATTCCTCATATCAGTGAGGTCATATGATACGTCTTTCTCTGATTGACTTATTTCGCTCAGCATAACACCCTCCAGTTCCATCCACGTCGTTGCAAATGGCAAGATCTCATTCCTTTTGATGGCTGCATAATATTCCATTGTATATATATACCACATTTCTTTATCCATTCATCTGTCGATGGACATCTTGGCTCTTTCCACAGTTTGGCTATTGTGGACATAAAATGTCAAAAATATTTTAAATGCTAGAAGTCTGAAATGGTAATTGGTAATTCAAATACATTTTAGTGGGCGCCTGGGTGGCTCAGTTGGTTAAGCGACTGCCTTCGGCTCAGGTCATGATCCTGGAGTCCCGGGATCGAGTCCCGCATTGGGCTCCCTGCTCAGCGGGGAGTCTGCTTCTCCCTCTGACCCTCCTCCCTCTCATGCTCTCTGTCTCTCATTCTCTCTGTCTCAAATAAATAAATAAAATCTTTAAAAAAATACATTTTAGCTTTTTTGCATGTGAAAATGAATGTCAGAAATTCAACATTCAGATTTGCTCTAACAATGACAGTAATCAAGTTTTGCTAAGTTCTGACTCTGTGCTGGCTGTGTTTTAAGAGTTTTATATGAATTATCTTATTAAATCCTCGCTGTCATTCCCCCACTGTTCGGCTAAGGAAAGGAAGCCATAGAGAGGTAAAGTCATTGCTCGAGTTCACACAGCCAATGGGATTCAAAGCCATTACTCTTCATCATTACACTCTACTGCCTCCCAAATCTCTGATTTAAAGGAATAACTGTGGTTTTTCTGGGAGTGGCCTTAAACCATCTACCAAGCAGAGAACCACTGGCTCAATTAGCTTTAGATTGAACAAACAAACAAACAAACCAAACAAAAACCAGAAGTGGCTTAAGCAAAGCCTGTTCAGAATCACATCCACTGGCAAGCAGCTGGGTGCCTAGCCATAGATAGTGAATCTAGTGATTTCTAAAATTTACAACT